CGTAAAGACGTAACTAAATTACATTCGTATAAATAATGTAATTAGCTATGTAGCTTCTAATCTCTAATTAGGTAGGCAGCGGCTTGACTCTGCCCCTGGCATTGCTGAAGTCCATGGGCGACGGTAACCACTCACCATCAGGTGGGCCGTATGCTCGTCTGCCTAAAAGGATAATAAAAAAAAAATAGCGTATAAGTAAATTCCCAAACTGTTTTAAATGATAATTTTCTTTTGCGTGAAATAAAGTTCTCCAAATATTTTTCTGTCTAACTGTGAAAATTGCATGAGAATTCGCTGCAAGAAAAGCGTAAAACAGACGAAATACATTTAAAAATAACTGTTTTGATTTATTGCAATACTTTGTTCTTTTCAGATCTGTATACCTATATTAATTATCAAAAATATATCGTATGTCATGATTTAGATTTTCTAAGCGACCGACTAAATTCTCAAATATATTCCACATTGTGTAAAACATTTCATACGAGTCAAAATCGAATCTAGAGAGCAGGTATCAATACGAATTTCATTTTAAACTTTCACCGTTATCTAGATATTGACGTTCGTATTAAGTAATTTTATTCCAAGTGTCGTCTGATCGATGAGAGCTATTTAGATTTTATAATGGTGTTTTAAACAATCCCACCAATTTTCGGGTGATACGAATTTTTTGTAACTTCACTCCTATTTTTTTGGTCTAAATCGACCGGCTTATATCTAATACGAAACAATAATGCATTTGAATGTAAGCCAGTCATCCGCAGTGTTATTGAGAAGTCGAACGTCTCAACGCAGTCGGTCCAATCATGTTCTGGTGTCTACGCTACAATCGGTATACCTTGACCGTCAATTTGGCCTTCCAATACGACCGGTTTAGTTACTAAAAAGGAATAACTTTTTTTTTTATTGCTAGATGGGTGGACAGCCCACTTGGTGTTAAGTGGTTACTGGAGCCCATAGACATCTACGACGTAAATGCGCCACCCACCTTGAGATATAAGTTCTAAGGTATCAAGTATAGTTACAACGGCTGCCCCACCCTTCAAACCGAAACGCATCATTGCTTTACGGAAGAAATAGGCAGGGCGGTGGCACCTACCCGCGTGGACTCACAAGAGGTCCTACCACCAGTAAAAGAAGCAGTAACGAGAGAAGCCGCGAACGCTGTCATGTTACTTTATAGAACAGTAAGCAACATGTGATTTTTAAATACCTGATTAGCTTTATTACCTCACACGAACGATATCGACAATTTGCTGTTGAATTGTTTTTTTTTCTTTGATATCGCAATAATTTCTGGCATTTTCTGGGAAGGAATTAGTCATTATTGCTAAGTCGCTACCAGATTAACGTTTTGTGGATATATTTTTTTGGGATTTGAATAGAGTCCAGTTCTGTTGTAGGCCTGAGAACGGTGGCAGGGTATATTGAAAGTACAGCACTCTCTTCTTCGAGGCGGTGTGCGTTTTCGTCTGGGATCTGGAGGCGGAGAAGTTCGTCGTCGATTATACGTGGCCTTGCGAACTCCGCGATAGTGGGTAGTCACGTTCCAGCGAAGAAGACTCTTATCGCGTCGGTCTGTGCTGGAGGCGTGGTCATGGTGAACCCGTCGGCCGGTATTCGGAGTTCTTCAAGCCCGTACGCCCGGTCTGACAATCTCTCGAGCCACCTGGTGTTAGCCGGATATCGATGCCTGTTTTTTCCCCTACAGATTTGCGTAAGGGGTTATTCCAGCTTCTCGTGAATGTGTGGGTGAACTCACGGGCTCAACCTGAGAGAGTTTGCTAACACTAGCCCTATTAAGACCAGGGCTTCGCAGAATCTACCACCCAATTGGAATTTCGACCCATTGAGAAGATCTGGCGAGAAACTCAGTGGGCGGCATCGGAAAAGTCATCGTGGTTTAAAGGATAAGACGCCCAGTGCATTCGTATCGTGCGATGCACCGGTGTTCGAACCGGTGTACCAATTTTTTTAATGAAATACGTACTTAACAAATGTTGACGATTAACTTCTACGGTCAAGGAATAACATCGTGTAATAAAAATCAAACCCGCAAAATTATAATTTGCGTAATTAGTTGTGGTAGGACGTCTTATGAGTCCGTACGGGTGGGTACCACCGCCTTTCCTATTTCTGCCGTAAAGCAGTAATGCCTTTCGGTTTGAAGGGCGGGGCAGCCGTTGTACTGTAAAGACTAAGACCTTAGAACTCATATCTTAAGGTAGGCGGCGGTATCTACGTTGTAGACGTTTATGGGCTTTGCTAACCACTTAACACTTCGTCCATCCATCTAAGCATTAAATGAAAAATCACTACGTAAATGCCAACATTGAGACACGAGTTCAAAGTCTCGACTAATCATTTTAATATAATTAGTCTGTTCTCCACAGCAGAACGCTTAAATTTAAATATCTAAGCCGAGCTTACTTACAAAACAGCATGAACGAGAATCCATAGAAGGTAAGGGTACAAGCTATCGATAGGAAGAATCCAGCTGCATTCGCGCCTAACGCGGATCCGATCCTGCCAAACATCATCACGGCTCCTACTGCAGTTCCTCTGTAACACAAACCTGTCTGTCAAAATTATGTGCATGTAACCTCCATATGATTTTCTATACTAATATTATAAAGAGGAAAGATTTGTTTGTTTGCTTGTTTTTTTTTTTTTTTTTTTATGATTGAAAGTTTACTGGTGGCCCGAAGGCCTTTCCAGTTTCACCAGGACAGGTGGGCGAGCAAAGGCTCAGCCAAGAGGGGTGGGATTTGCTAACAACTGCCCGAGCGCCTCCGAAGGAGACCTAACAACTCAAGAGCAATTGTTTCGCGAATGAATCTACTACCGGATCGGAATCGCGACCCGCTGAGAAGATCCGGCGAGAAACTCAGCGGGCTGATGCATGGGTTAGGTTGCACGTCGACCTCTTTGTCGAGTTCGACGAGTACGGTTACCGGGGTCCCTAAGCCTGCCCCTAGTATTAGAGCTGAAGGCATCTAATGCAAAGGTTATTGGATCTGATGGATCCGTAAGGATGTGTCTAGGGCGTCGACGGTGACTGGCTCCTGCATGATCAGGATTCGGGGAGTAGTCAGCGGCGGCAACGATAAGGCGATTATCATGACGTATAGCCTTATCGAAGTATGTTTGCTTGTATTGAATAGGCTCCGAAACTACTGAACCGATTTGAAAAATTCATTTACTGTTTGTAAACTACACTATCCCCGAGTGACATAGGCTATATTTTTTTTTTAAAAATAATAAAAAAATTAGATAAAAACAAATATTATTTAAATGAAAATAAAAGTTCATTAAAATAATATATTAATATTAAAACTATCTTTATAATTTTCTATTTTTAGAAACCTGACGCCAACGTAAGTGTTAGTGTGTGTGTATTATAACTTTTTATTTTGAAATTTTTATGACCCGAGCGAAGCGGGAGCATAATACGACATAAAGAGGTTAATATGTTATAAATAAATCAATAAATAAATAAATATTTACTAACAATCACACCACGTTAACTGGTCCCGTGATAAGTTCGTAAAGAACTTGTGTTACAGGTACCAGATAACGGAAATAAATGTAAGGTTTTTATTATACACATACATATATTTAATATACATCCATAACCCTGGAAAAGACATTTATATTTATCATACAAATATATTCCCTTGGCGGGATTCGAACCCGCGACCCCCTTGTGTAGTGACCATGTCACTTACCACTACACCAGACGGCCGTCATACAAATTTAGTTATACAAGTGACATAAATGAGAATTTCGAATATTGAAACATCAGAACATTAGAAGGAACATTAGAAATATAAAAGCATTTTTGAAATATTAAAAGATATAAAAACAGTGGTGAAGCAGTAGCTTTAAATGTTGTTTCTCTTTATAAGAGCAACTCAATTTGTGCTATAGTTTTACTAAGTTAAACTGTATTTTGATATAAATAAAATAATACATTATATGCATATATATTAATACGCTTTTATTAGCTTCAGACGTATGTATGTATGTTTGTAACGGAATCTTTGAACATGATTTTGACCTCCTTTAAAACGTCGGATTAACTCGAAATTTGGTATACTTATTAAGGACCGATGACAATACAATAGTTAGGAGGTATAGCGTTAGGAGGGCCGGGAGCTCGTCCAACCATTTAAGCAAAGAAAAGCTACCTGCTCCGGGCTCACAAATATTCTATACACAGTGTCCACATCATGAATGAAAAAATATTAAGGTCTTCTTTGACTTTTCGCGTCTTACCTTCGATTGGAGTCTAATTACTTTCGCTCAAGTCGGTTGACGTATTTGATTTTAGAAAATAAACGCTCTATAAATCACTACATAGTATAAAACAAAGTCGCTTTCTCTGTCCCTATATCTGTCTGTCCCTACGTATGCTTAAATCTTGAAAACTACGCAACGGATTTTGATGCGGTTTTTTTTAATAGATAGAATGATTGAAGAGGAAGGTTTATATGTATAATAACATCCATTAAATAGTGGAGAAATTAGTAATAAATTACAGTTTCCGAAGCGAAGCGAGGGCGGGTCGCTAGTATTGAATAAATTGAATAGAAACAGTATGCTATTTTCGTTTGCGATTTCTTCAGTGCAACTACGTCATAGCATATGTTTTAATATTATCAACGGTCCTGACGTCACAGTTATAAAAGCAATCTTGGGTCACCGCCTTCGTTACAATAACATTAAAGTATCATTTGTTATAAAGATAAGATTTACAAAACAAAACTGTGTTTGTTTTTCTAAAAGCTACTTATACGATGAATAAACATAGATTTTTTATTTACGTTAATGTCCGGCCTACGAAAAACAATAATAAATGTATATTTTTCTATCTAAAATAATCTTAGCATTTGGTTTTTTTTAAAACTTTCTTTTCAATTAAAAAGAGTAAAAATCAGCTTTAAAGGCGTTTTGTTTAGGTTCAGATTTTGTTAAAAAATTGTAAGATTGATGTTTCCTCACCTTAAGCGAGTTGGAAACAGATGTATCGCGTAGGCAGTCAAAGGTCCGATACCCAGAGCAGTTATTTGTAATGACGACATGGCAACACCGGCCAGCATTCTGCAACGAATTTCACAATAAACATGTTTATTTGCTAAATAAACAATTTTAATTGCTAAACAGCCTATAATTTTTTTTGTAAGCGAATCATTATATTCCATACAGACTTCTTACTTTTTGATAGGTCTCGAGTTTTATGTAAGAAGTTATCGTAATCGTAATCGTAAGCAGCTGTACAAAGGTTTAAATTCAAACAGATGATGCTACCTATATAATATGAAATGCGAAGACAGAAAACATAAGACGATTGAAATACGAGCAAGTGGGTTTTAAGATTTAACTCACAAAATATCGCTACCTATCTTGGTGAATAAGTCTTAATGTTATTGGTATCGACGATCGTAAGTTTCATATCATTGTGCTTAGTGCGAGTTTTTTAACGTTCTCGATAGAGTAAAAGTTAACTCAAATATGTACGGAGTTGGAATGATTGTCTACGTTTGCAGCTAGGGGCGCTGTTTCCACTGCATACAAATTTGACATAACTTTTACGCTATCGAAAACGTTCAAAAACTCGCACTAAGCACACAGAACGCGGCGGATGACACCATGGCCATAAACTTTCCTTTCACTAATCGCAAAAAAACATTCCACTCCTATTTTATGTTTCTTGCACTTTATTTGATAGTAATTTAATCAGTGCCGTTTCAGTCGTCTTATATATTAGCCTTTTACCTTGATCATTGAGCAACTTTGTATAGAAACGAGACTGTCGACGATTTGCTACCAGAAGGTTCTTGGTTACTTTGGTCATATTGCTCGGCGGCCACCAGACAACCTTGAAAGATTGATTGTGGTGGGCAAGGTAGAAGGGAAAAGACCCGCCGGCCGGCCACCAAACCGTTGGTCGGATCAGATAACTGCGCTCACTGGACTCTGTTACGAACGCCCTGAGAGAAGCCGAAAACCGAAGCAAATGGAAGCTGAGGGTACAAAGAGCCACGAAGGGCTTTCAAGGACACGACCTTCAGCAATGAAGTATTCGACTAAGAAGAAGACCTTGATCATGATTTTTGGGTCATATCTGATTAATTCAACTATCAAGAGCTTACATTGGCTTGTTACAATAAAAATATTTTAATACCTGTTCTTGCTGAGGCCAGAAACGAGACAGCTGATGCCCACCACAAAGAATACGGCGACCAGCAGAGTCTTCTTGGACAGTGGGGCGACACTTATCGCCATCACAATGACGCTGTACACAAGTGTCGTGACCACCATCACAAGGAGGGTGCTGTTTGAGATCGTATCCACGCACGCGTCAGTAATCGCCTGTAGGAGATATTAATTGCTTAGGTGGGTGGATGAGCTCACGGCCCACCTGGTGTTAAGTGGTTACCGGAGCCCTACACCATATCTACATAGGTACTACCCTACATCGTGGCATCTATAACGTAAATGCCACCTACCTTGAGTTCTAAGGACTCAGTATAGTTACAACAGCTGCCCCAACCTTCAAACCGAAACGCATTACTGCTACACGGCAGAAATAGGCAGGGCGGTGGTACCTACCCGCGCGGACTCACAATAGGTCCGACCAACAGTAAAAAAGATTCTAATTTCTTTTGTATCTTACCGTTATATTGTTACCGTTGTTCATATACAGACATATGGTTCCGACTTCATCTGATGTTCCAGTCAGCATTCTATTGATCGTGTCCGGTGCGAATAGAAAGAGACCATTCAATCTGCAATATAATATCCGTATAGATTATGGACAAAATAACGAAAGTTTCAAAATATTCGAGATTATTTTTTCGCTTTACAGCAATGTTTCCCAACCTTTTTTGTGCCATGCCCCATTGTAACGTTTCTAAAATTTTTATGCACCTCAAACATAATTTTTAACCTTAATAAATTGATTTGTTAACTTAAGAAAAATAAATGATAGGTTCTAGGAAGAAATAACTGGCAAATTATTATCAGAACACAGTAAGTATAATAATATTTCAAAACATAATAAAAATTGAAATTGATATTCAAAATAATTTTAATGCAGATTATATTATACTATATTTTTTTTTTTATTGCCCTTGTAGGCAGACGAGCATACGGCCCACCTGATGGTGAGTGGTTACCGTCGCCCATGGACTTCAGCAATGCCAGGGGCAGAGCCAAGCCGCTGCCTACCGCTTAATACTCTCCACAAGCCTCGTTTGAAGAAGGACATGTCATAGCGCTCGGGAAACACCGTGGAGGGGAGCTCATTCCATNATTTTTTTTTTTATTGCCCTTGTAGGCAGACGAGCATACGGCCCACCTGATGGTGAGTGGTTACCGTCGCCCATGGACTTCAGCAATGCCAGGGGCAGAGCCAAGCCGCTGCCTACCGCTTAATACTCTCCACAAGCCTCGTTTGAAGAAGGACATGTCATAGCGCTCGGGAAACACCGTGGAGGGGAGCTCATTCCATAGCCGGATATTACGTGGCAAAAAAGACCTCTGGAAACGCACTGTGGATGACCGCAGTGGCTCCAGGTAGTTTGGATGAACTCTACTCCGGTGGCGGGCGGTGCGATATATTAACTTAGTGCGATTGGCCCACTTAATTATTGCCCCCTTGTGGGGCGTGGGTTCCACGTTGGGAAACACCGCTTTACAGTATCGCGGAAGAATATGGTTAGGTTGGCAATTTTGTTATTGTTTGACGAGATTATTAATAGTGTCATAATCGTCAATCAAATAGGAGCGGAGTAAAAAGAGTAAGGGTCTTTCATCGGGCGGATTTTTTTGCACAATACACAAAAGAAACGATCCGAATGTTGCTGTTCAAAATTAAATACGCAAAGTTATCATAAATCGTTGTCGTAAGTATTCCGGTGCAAACGAGATTCACTTTAGACTGTGTTTCTTTTTCTTGGTTTTATTAAATTCTGTAATAGCCATTGCATGTCGGGGTAGGTTTCTTTAAATAAATTCACCCTTTCAAAACGATGTGGAGATTCATGATGTCGTGGTGTGAAAAGCAGGTTGGCTTAAGCGACATTTTTATGAGCCATTTAAAGTTAAAAACTTAGTAAATATATCTATCCTAAAAAAAAACTTCTTCAGCTATATGAATGGGGTAAACTTAATTCAAGTTCACTTAATAACATCGAACTGTTAATACTAATCTCTATATATAAAAATGAATTGCTGTTCGTCAGTCTCGCTAAAACTCGAGAACGGCTGGACCGATATGGCTAATTTTGGTCGTGAATTATTTGTGAAAGTCCAGAGAAGGTTTAAAAGGGTAGATAAATATGAAAATGCCGGGAATTAAATAAAAATAACAATTTTGTTTTTCCTTCGATGTATCCCCCGTCGGACGGATTCCTTATGATTGTTTTAAGTTTATTTTTTTACAAAAGTTTAGGTCTTTTATTTATCGATTCAGGCACTACGAAGTCTCGATAGAAGATCGAAGATAAATGTCGCGTATTAAGCGAAATGTCGCTTAAAACAAATAGCCTTTCACCACTCGATAAATAATCGGAATTTACTTACAATGAGAACAGTCCAAACATGAGGAATCCTGTTAAAAGCAGCCACTTCAGATGCGGCGGTCGAAGCAACGAAAGTATAGAATTATTTCTGAGCTCATCAGTGTCACTGGCGTCGCTGGCTGTTTCTGATAGACAGCTCAATGATTTGACCTGTAAGCAGAAGACGTACAGTTGATCCTCCATCCAAGATTTTATTTGTTGCCGCGCATAGAAAACGCCCTTTGTAAGAATGTTTTTGAAGTACGAAGAAGTTTTTCAAATTGAAATGCTGTTCCTGTTATTAATACGCTTTTATTAGCTTCACACGTATGTATATACATATGTATGTTAGTATGTAACGGAATCTTTGAACATGATTTTGACCTCCTTCAAAACATCTGATTACCTCGAATTTTGGTATACTTATTAAGGAGCGATGGCAATTCAATACTAAAATAAAATTGAAAAAATTGAAATTCAACTAAAAAATGGAAAATAAATAATAGTTTAAAAAAAACGAATAAAATACGCTTTTATAGAAAATCCAACTAAAAAATAGTAAATAAATTTGAATTAAAAGTAGTGTAAGAAAACACGATTTTATTGTAAAACAAGCGTTGGCTCACGGCAGAAATAGGCAGGGCGGTGGTACCTACCCGTGCGGACTCACAAGAGGTCCTACCACCAGTAATTACGCAAATTATAATTTTGCGGGTTTGATTTTATTACATAATGTTATTCCTTCATCGTGGAAGTCAATCGTGAACATTTGTCGAATACGTATTTCATTAGAAAAATTGGTACCCGCCTGCGGGATTCGAACACCGGTGCATCGCTCAACACGAATGCGCCGGACGTCTTATCCTTTAGGCCACGACGACTTCAAAGACGAAGAAAACTTGAAGACACAAGCGAAAATATACATACACAATATTCTTTTTCAGGCTTTCCCCTGTTAATGGAGTATATTTTCCTGAGGACAGCCAGAGCTTCGGTGCGTTTGCCTCTCGTGACTAGGAATTTGGGGCTCTCCTGCATCCAGGTCATGCAGACCGCCACTACCAGCAACGGAATAGCGTAGACGATGGTCAGAAGACGCCACGGTCTAAAGATAATCGCACCCATTTGGTATCGCCATTCGTATGGAAGAATAACCCACGCCAGCACTAGAAATTAGAAATGCATATTACATTTTTCATCATATTCCGTTTGAGTTTGAGCTTGTCGATTATGTTGGTAAACAAAAAAAGAAATAAACAATACTATTATAATTTTTTTTATATATCTCAAAAAGGAATCCATCTATCACAGGACTCTATAGCACCCTTGGTTGACTGGTAGAATTCTCTAAGCATTAGACATTAGGTTTAAAGAAACGTAATTAAATAGACAATTAAATTCCTACTGGTGGTACATACATACATACTTAATGGTGGTAGGACCTCTTGTGAGTCCGCGCGGCTGGGTACCACCACCCTGCCTATTTCTACCGTGAAGCAATAATGCGTTTCGGTTTGAAGGGCGGGGCAGCCGTTGTAAGTATACTTGAGACCTTTTTTTTTTTTTTTTTTTTTAATAGACCCCCGNAGTCTTTTTACATCCGATTCGTATTTAGATTTTAACTTACACCCTATCCATTCTACTCCTTCTTTGGGAGATCCTACTTTGGCCTACTATCATTTATTTTATCTTTATTAATATTTCGTTACTGACTACTAACAATATTTCATCTTATTCTAATAAACCCCACCTGTCTTATATATATTTTATTATTAATCTATGTCCATTGTTGCCATATCCTTATTTCTCTTACTATTTCATTAACCTACTTATATCTATTACATGTTTTCTTTTTGCACATCTTACATTTTTTTTGTTACTAATAATATATACTATTTTATTATATATTTTAGTAATCATTTACTGCTTATTTCTATTTATTACTATTCTAATTACTTTTTTACAATATTCGATAAATTTGCTTCTATTTTTCTTATCTGCTAATATCAATGGTAGGTTTCTTACTTCTATATTTAAATCTATATGTTGTTCGGTGTCAAATCTTTCTTTTGCATGCACTGGACATTCTATCAGCACATGCACAATGCTTTCTTGGTTTACAATACTTGAGACCTTAGAACTTATATCTCAAGGTGGGTTGCGCATTTACGTTGTAGATGTCTATGGGCTCTAGTAACCACTTAACACCAGGTGGGCTGTGAGCTCGTCCACCCATTTAAGCCATAAAAAAAATACTAGACATGGTGGAAGGTGGTGGAAGCTTACCAGGACATAGTGTGGAGAGAATCATCACTAATCCGTTGCAGATCAGCACGGTTCTGTCACGACTCTTCACTGGAAGCATCTCGCAAATATACGCGAAGCCCAAAGATGACGCGCTTGACAAACTGAAAACATATACTAAAATTTTTAATCTTGAATTTGAAAACGCGCTGTTGTCTTGTTATTTAACATTTTTCCTATGAAACAGATTTTTTTCTTTTTTTTTTATAGCCTAGATGTGTGGACGAGCTCACAGCCCACCTGGTGTTAAGTGGTTACTGGAACCCATAGACATCTACAACGTAAATGCGCCACACACCTTGAGATATAAGTTCTAAGGTCTCAGTATAGTTACAACGGCTGCCCCACCCTTCAAACCGAAACGCATTACTGCTTCAAGGCAGAAATAGGCGGGGCGGTGGTACCTACCCGTGCGGACTCACAAGAGGTCCTACCCCACCAGTAATTACGCAAATTATAATTTTGCGGGTTTGATTTTTATTACACGATGTTATTCCTTCACCGTGGAAGTCAATCGTGAACAATTGTCAAGTACGTATTTCATTAGAAAAATTGGTACCCGCCTGCGGGATTCGAACACCGTTGCATCGCTATATACGAATGCACCGGACGTCTTATCCTTTAGGCCACGACGACTTCATTCATGCGATACAATTTTCCCACACATCTCGAAAAAGTTGATTATTCTATGATTTATCATGTATATATGCATTAAATCTTATATAGGAACTTTTTTCTTACCGTCATTGTTTTGCTATTAAATTTTATACGAGTATAATATATAATTCGTCAACTTACACGAACAATTCTACTAAAATTCACGCCTTCAGAGTGAAAATTCAACGCTTTATTTTCATAATTACTGTGTGAGTAGTAATTGTAATAAATCGTTTTTTTTTTTCAAACGAAAGTGTATAAGGGTCATACACAAATAGAGCACAAAAAAGTGCAGCAAAAAATTTTTCTCAGAATCAGTGCGAAACAAACTATTTATTATTTAACTATTGATCATCAATCTTTTAATCACTATAACCGAGATCAATATGTCTTATTTTTGGCATAATCGCAATTTTTATATTTTTGCGGACCACAGAAGAGACGATTTGGTCTACCAGAGAGATGAAAAGCTGTGATGCAGCTTAAGTTAAAATATATTAAGACAACTTAATCAAACACGTGTAGCCACTGGTATAAACGAATACCGAAACGCAAATAAAATGTCAACATGATCACATAAATTGGAAAATAAAAATAAAAAAAATAATGTCTACAGAAAGGAAAATCCCTTCGGTGGACTTATGAAACAAATCAAATATCGAATGATAATAATTTTACAGCCATGGTATATTACTCGTATATAATTCTTTAGATAGCTAATGAATTTTAATATGCAATGTAATGAAATTTAAGGACTTTAATTATTTCAAAATATTTCCAGAGAACTTTCAGAATTGTCTGAATATTGTAAAGGAGTTGATGGCCATCATTTTTTTGATGAAAAATTTATGGAGCAATTGGTCTCACTATCAGAATATAATATACACAGTGCCCGCTGAATAGGTTTACGTGGTTCTCGATCATATATAATATCATAATCTGGAGTAAACCTGTCTGAGAAATCAGGTGATATTGATAGCGTAGATGCGTCGAGTGTTACTGGTATAAAAGGAGAATTAGGTACAGATAAATAGTATTTCAGGAATATTGGACCCAGAATCTAGAACACGTGAGGCCCGAAACGAATTCAATGTCTTCATTTGCAAATTTATTTGACCTAGACGATAATGAAAACAATGCATATCAGCTGTATTTCTTCACTATTTTCTTTTTTCTGTCTATACGTTGCTCTACCTGACGATTTGTTTTTCTGTTTTCTGTTTAATCTTGATAATTGCAAACGATATCTAACTAAGCCTGAATCCATGTTTGAATTTTTTATTCTTAAGTACTTATTCTCTGCTTTAAGTCGTCGCAAGTTACGAGCTCTAATAACTTACCTACACTAACACGAGATCTTGCCAAATATGATGAACTTGAAGATGAAGTGTTACTAATCAAATCAGTAGCCTCAGGTTTTTGCTGTTTTTCTTTTCACGTCTTATTTTCGCTTTTTCTCTCCAAGCCTTCCTATGTTCCTTTGCTGCCCGGGAGTGTAGACTTTTATAATTTTAATTAGACCTTCAGTAGGCCCTCGTTCGACTATTTTTTTTTTTATTCTTCTCTACTTAGACCAACTAAGGTATGTTTATTACCTCTTTTCTGTGGACATAGTATTTTCAGTGGACATCGTGACCACAGGAGGGATGTCCACAGAAAAGATGTATTATAAAAACTCTTGCGCAAAGAAGTTAACTTTGAGGTTAGAAATTAAGCAACATGCTTTTCATTTACTTGTACTAAATGCTCATATAAAAACAAGAAATATACATTTTTATAGATAATATTTACATGTATATAATTGGAACAGGAAATAACACTTGATCTTTTACGTTTATGTGTGTTTTGGAATAAAATAATATATTTGACTCGCACTGGAATCGAAACAACAAAATATCAAATGCCGGAATGGCCACTATTTAGTGATGCCAACAGTTAAAAACATAAACTTAATGCGGTCGAATAAATAAAAAATTAGTGTCGTTTTATCGCGTCCACAGAAAAGACTCCATTTCATGTAACCATAAGTTTATTGGATTTATTGTATACAGATAGTAACGATATATTTGTTTTATTCTCAATATTATCATCTTTATTATATTATTTGTGTTACAAGTAAATAATTTTAATACATAGGGTACTTTAACTATTTTTAAACATGGCTCAAACATTATACCTTCGTCTTGTAACAGTCCACAGGAAGAGATTTTTTGAAGTTTAACGCCATCAAAATGAATTTATGAAATGTAATATTTTAAAAGATACGATTAAAATGAGTAGTAATATAGTACCTTTACGATTTAAATGCTTTCAAATATTCATCAATTTGCTCTTTTAGATGATACATTGCTATAACACTTTTTTTACCCTTTTTGTGTATGACCCATAAACTAAATGTAAACTCTCATTGCAATATTCCCGTGGATTTTCTCGAAATATCTTTTATTGCAATTTATTATGTTTATACATAATTTTTTTCTTTTTTAGCCCACAGACGTTCACTGCTAGACATAAATATAAAAGAAATATAACGTGAGTGTAAACGGTTTTGCGGTAGGCAGCGGCTTGGCTCTGCCTCTGGCATTGCTGAAGTCCATGGGCGACGGTAACCACTCACCATCAGGTGGGCCGTACGCTAGTCTGCCTACAAGGGCAATAAAAAAAAAAAAAAAAAACTTACAAAAGTGAACCACAAAACTTGCAGATGCTGAACGCTAACAAATTAGGCATGAACGCGGCCAGGAGTCCCACGAAACCGCCCATCGAGGCAGACGCAATCATCGCTGGTTTACGGCCCAAGGTGTCCGATGCTCTACCCCACAGCGCCGCCGTGAGGATGACGCCTGAAAACATTCACCGATTATCGAAATTCACAGGAAACCAGGACAAAGATTAAAACTTTAGGACTGTAAATTATACTCTATGCCAATTACGAAGTCTCTTTTGACACTTCTTAGAATATAACTCTTCACGTTCCGCTTAATTATTAGTTACAACGGCTGCCCCACCCTTCAAACCGAAACGCATTACTGCTTCACGACAGAAATAGGATGGATGAATAGGACGGATGGTGGTATCTACCCGTGCTGACTCACAAGAGGTCCTACCACCAGTAATTACGCTAATTATAATTTTGCGGGTTTGATTTTTATTACACGATGTTATTCCTTCAACGTGGAAGTCAATCGTGAACATTTGTGAAGTACGTATTTCATTAGAAAAATTGGTACCCGCCTGCGGGACTCGAACACCGGTGCATCGCTAGATACGAATGCACCGAACGTCTTATCCTTTAGGCCACGACGACTTCAAGTTAAATTACGATTAAATCTAATTATTGATGCTTCCACGTCTCAAGATGAATCTCGATACTTCCAACGCAAGCTAAGTTGCCCAAACTCAGTAATATAACCTTAGAGAACTGAACACTGGTCAGCATTGGTTTCTCTGACTTACATCTGCAGCTACAACGAAACTTCTACCATCACGATATTTTATCGATATCTAAATCTTTGGGACCTGTATCGCGCTTCTCAACGTTGGCTGGTACCACTCGCGTTGTGGTGGCAAAGCGATGCCTAATAATTTTATTTTCTGGTTGGAAGCGGCCTGGTTAAAGGTAGGCAGCGGCCTGACTCTGCCCCTGGCATTACTGACGTCCACGGGCGACGGTAACCACTCACCATCAGGTGGACCGTAAGCTCGTCTCCCTACAAGGGCAATAAAAAAAGGTATCTAATCCTGAGGTACCTAATTTATTTGTTAGCTTCATCATAATCATCATCAGCCTGCGGCAGTCCAGTGCTGGACATAGGCCTCCCCCAAAGCTCGCCACTGAACCCGATCTTCGGTTCTACGCATCCAGTCACTGCCAGCTGCCTTGCGCAGGTCGTCGCTCCATCTAGCAGCAGGGCGTCCTACACTACGTTTGCCGGTTCGCGGTCTCCACTCCAGAACACGTCTACCTCAACGGGTATCGGTTCTGCGACATATTTGACTAGCCCACTGCCACTTCAGCTTACTAACTCTGCGAGCTATATCAATCACTTTGGTTTTTGCCCGAATGACCTCATTGCGTATTCGGTCTCGCAATGACAAACCAAACATAGCTCGCTCCATAGCTCGCTAAGTAACTTTTAGTTGGTGGACTAGTCGCAGAGTCAGCGTCCACGTTTCGGCTCCGTAGGTAAGCACGGGTAGCCGCGAAGCTCAATTGTTAGCTTCACTATTTGAAAATACTATCCAAGCAATACCTATGTTAGGTATCGAAGTGATGATTCCTCTGAGTTTATCAGATAATTTAAGGTCGCATGTCGCGGCTGGGAGCACGAAAGCCACTCCGATCATTTCTAATATCGCAGCCGTCGTCGAGAACAGCATCAGCGCAGTGTGGACCAATTGATACCGGCCCGCGCCTGAAAATATTAATATAGCAAATCAATCTATACTAATATATTATTATAAATAAATCTACAGTGGGTTTTACGGATGTTCCGTTATAACTACTGAACCATGCATCCGATTGACTTGAACCTTGGTATCCATGTAGAAAATACATATACTAATGGATAGGCTAATATTTATATGAGTGTTGGACTCCCTACACCAGTTGCGGGGGCGTTAATGATGAAAATCTTTGTGGGGTGTGAGAAATAATAATGTTAATTTTAATAGCCCAGCGAAGCGGACGGGTACAGCTAGTATACCTATATATTACCTACGATGGCTAAATAGTTTATTTCAGATTAAAACGGAATTTATGTTAAGCGATAATTTTAATTCCAACATAACATTAAAATTAACAGTTTCAATGTCGTCGACATAATAATCTACTATTAATACCTTATAGTAAGTAATTATAATAATAATGATTACTATGATTCCATTGCTTATCTATTTAACTATTATATACCGTAGTAATCACATAATTAAAAAAGCTAATTTTACGGGGTGTTTTTTAAAATAAACTAGTACAACTATTTTTTTTTGCTTAGGTGGGTGAACGAGCTCACAGCCCACCTGATGTTAAGTGTTTACTGGAGCCCATAAACATCTACGACGTAAATACGCCACCCACCTTGAGATATAAGTTCTAAGGTCTCAAGTATAGTCTCAAATATGTATTTTTTGTTATTTCTCTCGGTATCGCCAAACTTTTCCATACTAGCAGTATATTCGTTGCTTTGATACATAAAATAGGCTAAAAAATGAATATGTAGATAAACTTTATACATAAATTAGATTTGGACCTACTATCACTACTCCATAGTGGCTGTTCACATAATGTTTTTTTTTATTCTACATATAATATATATTTTTTATTGCCTAGATGTGTGGACGAGCTCACAGCCCACCTGGTGTTAAGTGGTTACTGGAACCCATAGACATCTACAACGTAAATGCGCCACACACCTTGAGATCTAAGTTCTAAGGTCTCATAATAGTTACAACGGCTACCCCACCCTTCAAACTGAAACGCATTACTGTTTCACGGCAGAAATAGGCGGGGCGGTGGTACCTACCCGTGCGGACTCACAAGAGGTCCTAGCACCAGTAATAAAACTTGATGGGAAGAATTAGTCATATAAAAGGCAGCTGATCGTCTGAAATGCAGAAAAACATGAGTTTTCCACGTTTTGAAGCATTCTGCCACTTATCAGACTACTTCAAATGCTCCGCGTGTATCTAAAGAGAGAAAATAATCTAGTCGAGATGATCGAAATATTTTTTGTTTGGTAAAACATAATTCTTTTAAAGGGCCTATCGAACTGAGAAAAGGATATTTTGCTGAAAACAACCTTTTAGCATTCTCGGCATGCACTATGCGGCGAAGGCGTTTGCTAGAAGGAAAGTTACAGGAAATCTTAGCAAAGAAGGAGCTCATGTTGAAACGGCGCCATAGACAAATCCGGATTTGCCAGAAAGTATGAAAACTGGACGGTTAGACAAAGAGTGGGAAATAGCTCTTTTTTTAAAGAGAACAAAATAAACAGGGTATGTTCTGATGGAAAACCATATGTTTAATGTTTTCCGAATAAATCATTCGACTCTAAGTACACAAAAGTGACATTATAAAATGGTGGGAGAAATGTAAAAATTTGGTGCTTATTTTCTGAACATGATCTTGGATCGTCATGTAGTGTTGGAAGGGGCAGGCTTGATGCGTCTCACGATGTCGCGCCATCTCTCCCTGCTCGAGGCCATTCTACTGCACTCATTTAGGGGACCTCCCACTGCAGTTTTAATTTGGTCGGTCCACCGCATTGGTGGCCTCCCGCGCGGTCTTGTACCATCAACGCTTCTCTGTACAGCTACATGACGATCACGACCACTCTGTCAAGAGTGACACGACTGAGAAGAAGATCTTGGATATGTTAAGTTGACAAGGGAACATGGATCAATTTAAATACAAAAAGATACTGGAAATGTTATTTTATGCTGAAGACGTGCTTCTAGTTATTTAGACATTCCAGCGCGACAATGGTCTAGGTCCATACAGCACGCGCCATTAAGGAATTTCTCACATTATAATCAGTCCTGTCTAAGATTGGCCAACCAACAGCCCAGATTTAAGCTCAATTGAGCATATTTGGTATGAAGTCAAGAAAAACGTTTGGTTTTGTAAGGTTTGTTTGTACAAGGTATTTTTAGAAAAATAGATATCTTGCGAAATGTCAAAAATTGATAGTTTCACGTAACTTACTTAAATACGCTTAAATGCATGTAATACATAATAGATAATATGCACCCAGACAAAGAGCAAACGAATTTGTTCATCACACAATGTTTGCTCGAAGTGGGAATCGAATCTACGACTCTCGGCGCAACAGTCAGGAGAACTAGCTACTGCACCATTGAGCCAGTCAAACTAGCTCAGTTTTTTAAATTTGAAATGAAAATTGTATTGTTGGTGAGCGAATTGTAGCTCACATAGTGGTGATCTGACAAAAGTAAATAGACATTCAACCTAACTGAATCTAATACTGGGGGTAGGATCTTGTGAGTCCGCGCGGGTAGGTACCACCGCCCCGCCTATTTCTGCCGTGAAGCAGTAATGCGTTTCGGTTTGAAGGGTAGGGCAGCCGTTGTAACTATACTTGAGACCTTAGAACTTATATCTCCAGGTGGGTGGCGCATTTAGTTGTAGATGTCTATGGGCTCCAGTAACCACTGAACACCAGGTGGGCTGTGAGCTCGTCCACTCATACAAGCAATAAAAAAATAAACAATAATATTAATAATAATTGAAACAATTTTTTTGAAGTGAAACTTCTAATGTGACTTCCAACAGGGTTGCGTTAAACGTTTAACGCTACCATACTAGAAAGAGACAGAGCGAGAGTGAATGCGCGGCACTCGAACGCATGCGCGTAGTATACCTGTTACAGGCCAGCGCGAGCGTTAGCAACGAGTAGCGTCCAATATTTTAATAAAGTATTTAAAAAAAATTATATGCGACTATATTTTTTTTTATCTATTATTTAAAATATATATATAATGAATGTTGAAGGTGACGCATCTCTTATACACAGCATTCCCTATTACAAGAGCAACCTAATTTAAGGATGAAAAATGAAGAAAACCACAATACTACTACTACACATCGAAAAAGAAGTTTCACTTCATTCACGTGCACCAAGTTGCATGCGCACCGTTTTTTTAAACTGTAACTTTCAGTTTCTTTGACTAGATAAAATAAAAACTTTTATTGGAAAGTTAGTCCTTAATGAATATTATTTTGTAAGTTTTCTTAGAATATGAAAAATTCATTCTGCAAAATTGACAACATTTTTTTCAAGGAAAATACCGGCTCAAGCTATAAAACAAATCAGTTATCTTACTTATACATATATGTATTTATATTAAATAAATTAAATAGTTCAAAATCTTGTACAAAATTTACCTGCCAGATCTAAGGCGTCTTCTAGATCCACATTTTCCAGTATTTTCTGTGGTAAATCAGATTTTTCCTTCACATCTTTTGAAGCTATATTTTTCTCCTTCATTTTAGGTTTATTGCTGTAAAATTACAATAACTTAATTAAAGTATTTTTTAGACGCTTCTAAAGTTTTACTAGTTAAATAATTATTATATATATGCATGGATTGACATTGTAGATATAATAAAGCTGGTTGTGTACATTGCGACTTTTTATAGCGACTGTTTTGTGGTTTTACTAACGTAGTGTTCAGTACCTATTTATTGTTAGCAAATATACTATCATGTTATGTATACAAATATTCTTTACTGTACACAGTAGGAGTGGGTGATATAAATCGTATCTAGATTCAATATCTATATATCGCAGCAATATCGTTGAATCCGATATCGCCCCGCACGAAATCTATATATCGATATCAGCCGATACACGATATTGCTCGATGTGATGCGCATCGGCATATCGTACCGATTCGTGAATCGAAATCTATATTTCGATATCAGCCGATACACGATATTGCTCGATGTGATGCGCATCGGCATATCG